TTTTTTTCATTGTTTATTTATTTTCTGAAAATATTTTTATTACTTTATAAATAATACCATTCAAAATTTCTGCTTACTCCCCTCCTCCCACTTCCTTCCCACTCGCTCACACACCCTTACCCCTCCCCCTCCAGTCCTGAGAAAGGACAGGGTACCCTGCCCTGTGGGAAGTCTAAGGCCCTCTCCCCTCCATCCAGACCTAGGAAGGTATGCATCCAAATAGAATAAGATCCAAAAAGCCAGTACATGCAGTAGAAACAAATCCCAGTGCCATTCTCAATGGCTTCTCAGTCTGCCTCAATTGTGAGCCACATTCAGAGGGTCCAGTATGATCTTACGCTTGTTTAGTCCTAGTCCAGCTGGATTTGGTGAGCTCCCATTAGTTCAGGCACACTGTCTCAGTGGGTGGACCAACCCCTTGTGGTTCTGACTTCTTTGCTCATCTTCTCCCTCCTTCTGTTCTTCAACTGGACCTTGGGAACTCAGTCCAGTGCTCCCATGTGGGTCTCTATCTCTGTCCATCACCGGACGAAGGTTCTATGATGATATTCAAGATAGTCATCAGTCTGACTACAGGACAAGGTCAGTTCAGGCACCCTCTCCTCCACTGCCCAGGGTCCTAGCTGGAGACATTCCTGTGAACTCTTGGGAACCCCTCTAGAGTCAAGCCTCCTGCCAACCCCACAATGCCTCCCTTAAGTAAGATATCTTCTTCCCTGCTTCCATATCCGTCCTTTTTCCATCTCAACCATCCCACTCTCCTAAGCTCTCCTCAACCCTCCCCCTTCTCCCTTCTCTCTTCTCTCCCCCCATTCCCCTCCCCACCCACACATCCATGCTCCAAACATTTGCCTGGGGCGATCTTATCTACTTCCAGGAGGATCTTCTTTGGGTTCACCTTATTACTCAGGTTCTCTAGAATCACAAACTATAGGCTCAATGTCCTTTATTTATGGCTAGAATCCACTAATGAGTGAGTACATACCATATTCATATTTTTGAGTCTGGGTTATCTCACTCAGGATAGTGTTTTCTATTTCCATCCATTTGCATGCAAAATTCAAGATGTCATTTTTTTTTTTTTTTACCGTTGAGTAATACTCTAATGTGTAGATGTGCCACACTTTCTTTATCTATTCTTTCATTGAGAGGTATCTAGGTTGTTTCCAGGTTCTGGCTCTTACAAATAGTGCTGCTGTGAACACAGTTGAACAAATGCTTTTGTAGTGTAATTGGAATAGCTGGGTCCTGAGGCAGGTTGACTCCCAATTTTCTGAGAAACCGCCACACTGATTTCCAAAGTGGTTGCACAAGTTTGCATTCCCACCAACAATGGATTAGTGTTCCCCTTACTCCATATCCTCTCCAGCATAGGCTATCATTTGTGTTTTTGATTTTAGCCATTCTGACAGGTGTAAGATGGTATCTCAAAGTTGTTTTGATTTGCATTTCCCTGATTGCTAAGGAAGTTGAACATGTCCTTAAGTATCTATTGCGAATGTGAAATTCTTCTGTTAAGAATTCTCTGTTCTGTTCAGCACCTCATTTTTTTTTAATTGGGTCATTTAGAATTTTAATGTCTAGTTTCTTGGGTTTTTTTAATATATTTTGGAGATCAGACCTTTGTCTGGTATGGGATTGGTGTAAAAGAGTGCTTGGGGGCAGGTTGGAATGTGGTAAAGAAAGCCACAGCAGGGAAACACCCCACTGGATGGCCAGAAAGATTTAGGGAATTGGAGGGAGCCAGTACTCAGTTCTCCGGGACCTTTTGGCCTTGTGGCCACTCACTTACCTCTCCAACATACTTTAATTTTTATGTAGGTTTTTGGTATCCAAACATTGGTACACCTAGCATGATCTTGTGGTATTTGTGTTTAGTTTTTTGTTTGTGTTCTTTGAGGGACCACCATGTGGAATTTCACTGTGGCTACCATAAATTACATTCTTGTCTTCAGTGTGTGTTTCATTTCCCCATCAAATCTTTGCCAGTATTTTCTATAGTTTTCTTTAAAAAAAAAAAAAAACATCGGGGAAGGGGGACAGAGAGAGGGAGGGAGAGAGAGCCCTCTATACCATGGCATATGTATGGAAATCAGAATGCAATTTGTAGGAGTATAATCTCTTTCTACCACGTGTCTTGGGAACTGAACTCAATTGTCACGCTTGTCAGCAAATGCCTTTACCCATTGAGCCATTTCACTGGCTGTAGTTTTTTTTAATGTTATATTTCTCACAGGTGATAGAGAATCACAGTGTAGTTTTTATTTTCATTTCTCTGTTGGCTAAGAGTATTGAATTTTTTTCGTTATTTGTTATTTATACTAAGACCTTTGAGAAATATCTTATTTCGATATACATATTTATTGATTAGTGTATATTTGTGTGTGTGTTTAGTTTCTTTATCTCTTTATAGTTCAGTGTGCAGCTGACAAGGTTTGCCCTCTTGTAGGCCATTCACTTTGCTGTTCTCATTGCTCTTCAGAAGCCTTTTATTTTTGTACTTCATTTACCAGTGCTGGGATCATTTTCTGAGCCTGGGGTCCTTAAAAATCCTACCTGTGCCCTTAAATTTTACTTACTGTGACGTCGCACTTTCAGAATTTTGCATCCCTTAAGGTCTATTCATTTTTAGTTAATTTTTCGCCCTCCCTCCCTCCCTCCCTCCCTCCCCCCTCCCTCCCTGTATGAAAGATAAAACTGGTTTCATTCTTCTGCATTTGGCTATTTTTCAACACCATTTTTTTTTGACAAGACTTATTTTCTCCATTGCATGCTTTTTTTATATCTTTTTTCAAATTAGATGGATATATCTGTGTGGATTTATTTCTTGAGTCTTCCATTCTATTCCTTTTGTCCTTGTTCTGTTTTTGTATTGGTTTCCCTACAATTGCTGTTACTGTGACTTTGTAGTATGCTTTGAAACCAGGCTAGTCAAGATCTTTTATGTTTCCATATGAAATATAGGATTTTTTCTTTAGTTCTGTAAAATACATCATTATCACATTGAAACTAGATTACTTTTGATTGTGTAACTATTTTCACAAAATTCTGCAACTCCATGAGCATACCACACAGGATTCTTACTGCACCTACTCCAGTTTTTGTTTACCTGAGTTTATTCACATGAGCTTCACCATGTCCCTGTTTTGATACTTCTAGGGAACCTATTACTACTTTTTTTGCTAGTTATTTTATCTAAACTTTGAGACTTTATATACACGTGTGAGCTCTTAAAAGTTTTCTTTTTCTTGTAGCTGGTTTTCTGAGCCTTTACTTTAGCAAATGTTCCTTTATTTTTTTTGGGTCTATGTCTAGATTTCCTTAGTAGAAAAGAAAGAAATCTGATTGAAATGACATTGAGATTGATTCCCTTTTTCATCTCCCTCTCATAGCATCTTTTCTCTCTTTTGTGCCCATATTTCTGTTCAAAATATCACCAGTTTATCCTGCACCAAATGCTATTTCCTAAGACTGTATTATATAACAAATAATACGGTCTAGCTACTCAGATTTATTCATGGTCTTACAAATGAGTCAAGAAAGCTTGTCTATTTCCATAGGAAGAGGAAAAAATGATTACAAATGTGTATTTGTGAGTCAATCTGTGTCATGATGGAAAGATGATACAGTGTGTTCTGTAGTAACAACAAAATATGCAGAGTACAAAGAATTCATTAGGATGTAACATCTTGCTTCCTAAAGAATGGAGTGTATTCCAAACATGTTTATACTCTTGAGATTCACTTACAGGTTGCAACTGTTTCTGAAAACTGACATTGAATTTGAATGTTTTTCTTACTGTCCACCATTTGTTAGTTTGTTTCACAGAAGTAATGGTTTTGGAGTTGCTAAACCACATTTGCAGGTGGCATAACTCTATTGTCTAGATAAACTTTTCAGGTAGTTTCTTTTGCATTTCGTCTTAGGGACCCCACTCACTTCCAGTTTACTTGTGTTAGCACCCCCTTTCCCCCCTCCCCTTCCCTTTCCAGGTTGTTCTCATGAAATTGCAGTATGTTTAGATTCCTATTACCATATTCTTCAGTCTATCCTCAGATCTTTCTATTCTCCTGAGTGATTTGATTTTTAAATGCTACTGTTTAATTCTTCTTTTCTCCTGTTAAGTTTCATGGTCTTGTTAAGTCCTCACCCCCTTGTTCTTCATCATAGCATCATACAATTTTTTTTTAAAATTAAATCAGCTAGATTCCATGTGACACAAGCATTTCAGATCAGGCTTGGTGGCACAAGTCTTTAATCCCAGCACTCAGGAGGCTGAGCCAGGCCAATCTCTGTGAATTTGAGGCCAGTTTGGTCTATCAGAGCTAGTTCCAGGACAGCTAGGACTGTTACGCAGAGAAATCCTGTCTGGAACACTCCCCCGCTACCCACACACAAAAAGCATTTCAGAAGATGTTGTGTAGGCTAATAGTAAAATTTTAACATTGTCTTATATCGATCATGAATTAAGTTAATGCCATGTATTAACAAATATTTCTTTCCTCCTACATGTTAAAGCAGTTGGCTTACTGCTTTTAATGATCTTTCTGTGACCAAAAATTTAAACATTTTAAAGAAAGAAAAGAACGTAATCCCCAATAACTTCTTTCTCTTTCCTCAGTTTCCCTACTCTGAATCTACCGTTTTAGATGTTCTTTTAGTACTCTGATTTTACATTTATAGCAATCAGTGTATTATAAAACTATTTTCTTTGTTAGTCAGATCCAGATTTCCATGAACTAATTAAACTGTTATATTTATTCTTTTCATTAATGTATTTATTTTTTTCTTATACTCCGTTATTCTTTTATTCTTTTCTTATACTAAATTATTGTATAATACCACAGCATTTTAGTATTTGTAAAAAGCATAAAATGTGGGATGGCTTGTGTTTTGCCAGCAGTCATGTGAATATCAATAATATTTAAGCTTCCTTTGTAAGTTGGAAATATTTTGTTTTGTTTTATAGCAGTTGTGATTTTGGTTTTTTCTGTTTACAGTTTCTCAAGCAAGACCGCCCCCAAATCAGAAGAAAGGTATGATTGTGTCTTTTATTTATTTTAGGAGGTAAATGTAGGTGAACTAGGTTTCAGAACTAGGGCCTCATATGCTTGTGCACCAATTTTGGGTATATCTGCTTAGTATTTTACTTGGTGAGAAATAAGCCACATGGGCTATTAAATATTTTTGCTATTATTGAAAATTAAAATTTTAAATTTATTTTAAAATATTTTAGCACAAAAGAATTAGGTTATAAGTTTAAAAATTATAATACAGAAAGTGATTTTTTTTCACTAATAATATTGAATTTTTTTTAACTTTTAAATTTTTTTCTTTACAGGATCACGAACACCCATTATTATTATCCCTGCAGCTACTACTTCTTTAATAACTATGCTTAATGCAAAAGATCTTCTACAGGATCTAAAGTAAGTAATTTATAATGGTTTTTTGTTGTTGTTGTTAGTTTTTATTATATTTATTTTTATTTTTATGCTGTTGTTTTTTCGAGACAGGGTTTTTCTGTGTAGCCCTGACTGTTCTGGAACGGTCTTTGTAGACCGGGCTGGTTTTGAACAGTGAGAGCCTGCATCTCCCTCTCAAGTACTGGGATTATAGGGGTGCACCACCACTGATCATTTAGAGTTTGTTTTTTTTTTTAAATAGTCTATTATTCTTGTTCTTTATGAGACACTGTTGTTGTTGTATGTAATCTTAATTGTTTTTTGAGATTATAGTATAATTATATCATTTTCTCCCTTTCTCCTCTCTAATCCTTTCCTGGGTACATTTTCTTTATTGTAAAAAGTTTGCTTCATATGCTATATTCTGATAATGCTTTTTCTCTCCCCAAATGGCCCCATATTCTGCCCACTGTCTTACCTACTCCAATACTTGATGGGTCGGTCAGTCTTTCTTTCTGTCTGTCTCTCAAACAAACCAACAACCCATACAGAAATGGAAACTGGAATACACAAGGAAAAGACCAGTAAGACAGAATGCCTAAATAAAACAAATTGAGCCAAAAAGTGTACAAAAGTACTGTTCTTGATACCATTGTAGTCCTTGGCATGGAGCCTATCCTGATGTGGTTAATATACCCAGCAAAACTCCATTGGATAGTAGTAGTTTTCCCTTTTCCAGTAAGTGTCAATTGCTGTAGATAGCGTCTTGTTTAGGGGTAGGAACCCATGTTCACTTTCCAGTTTTAACACTGGGGTCTTTTTGGCTTGAACTGGTACAAACTTTATGTTTGCTGCAATGGTCTTTGAGTTTATATCAGGAATGTTGCATATGGAAGACAACTTCCTTGGAGTCACACATTGAGTAGACTCTTGGAATCTTTCCACACACATCATCCCTGAACTCTAAGGGGACAGGTGTGATAAAGACATCCCATTTATGACTTAGTGTTCCAAAGTCTCACTCTCTGTACATTGTCCAGTTGTGGCTCTCTGTGTTAGTTCTCATTTACTGCAAAAAGAAATGTCTCTGGTGATGTTGAATGAGGCACTGCTCTACTGGTGTAACAGAATGTCATTAGTAGTCGGTCTTACTTGCTTCTCTGTTCCTGTTTGAAACCCCATATCCAAAGTAACTTTTAAAGCAAGCATTTAATTGGGAGTTTGCTTACAGGTTCAGATCATCATGACTTACAGCATGGTGTTGGCTGGCAGGCAAGCATGACTCTGGAGCTATAATAGCTAAGAGCTCATCCCATAAATTGTAGTAGAAAGGAAGAGTGTGACCCACCTAGTCTGACATAGGTTTTTGAAACTTCAAAAAGCCCATTCTCAGTGACACACCTCCTTCAATAAGGCCACACGTATCCAACAAGGCGAAAATTTTTAATTTTTCTAAAACAGTTCTAATAATAGAAGACCAAGCATTCAAAAGTAGGAGCCTATGGGGGCCATTCTCTTTCAGACCACCACAGAGTCATATTAGTGCTTTGTCATTTTAGCAGAATAGTAGCTTTAGGTCTAACCAGTCTCAGGTTCTTGACCATTCTAGCTTTGTTCTTGATTTAACTTTGATAGGTCAAGAATTTTATCCATTTTTTTTTTTTTAGGTTTTCCAGTTCAGCGGAGTACAGATTTTTAAAGTATATCTTCTAGGATTCTGCAGATTTCCTTGATATTTGTAATGTATCCCTTTCCTCTCTAGTTTTATTAATTTGTGTCTTTTTCTTCTTGTGTCTTAGTTAATTGGCTAAGAATTTATCAGTGTTCATGATTTTCTCAAAGAACCAACTCTTTCTTTAGTTCCTTGTTGTTTGTTTCTATTTCATTGATTTCAGCCCTCAGTTGGGTTATTTCTTGTTGTTTGTATCTTTGAGATGCAATGTTAAATTACTAATATGAGATCTCTCCTTTTTTTATGTAAGCACTTAATGCTATGAATTTACCTCTTAGAACTGCCTCAATGTGTCCTATAAGTTTTGCTATACTGTTTTAATTTTATTCAGTTAAAAAGCTTTTAATTAGCTTCTTGATTTCTGTCTTGACTTGTTTTTTTTCCATAGTGAGTTCAGTTTCCATGAGTTTGTATATATTTTTTGTTGTTGTTGGTATCTAGTTTTTATTGATGATCGTCAAATAAGATGCAGGATTTTTTAGTGTTCTTGTATTTGAGGAAACTTTGGGCTTTTATTATCTCCATTGGGAAGTCAGGTGTTATTCTAACATTCTGTCATTAGATGTTAATTAGTCTTTTTACCTTGCAGTGTTTAATATCCTTTCTATGTTCTGTACATTTAGTGTTTTATTTATTATGTGTTGTGAGGAAATTTCTTGTCCTGTTTGGTATTCTGTATATTGTACATGTTCTTGTACTTTGAAAGGCACCTTCTTGGTTAGTTTGGGCAAATTTTTTGTTAAAACCGTTTTCTGTGAATTTAGCTTGTGTTTCTTCTTATGTTAATCATAATTCATAGGTTTGGTCTTTTCATTGTGTCCCAGATTTATGGACGTTTTGTGCCCTACCGCCCATTTAACATTTTCTTTGACCGCAGTAAACATTTTTTCTACCTTGTCTTTAAGACCCAAGATTTCCTCTTCCATCTCTTATAATCTGTTGATGACATGTACCTCTGAGATTTTTCTTTAGCATCCTAAATCTTTTGTTTCTAGTTGGGTTTTCTGTACTGATTTCTATTTCTTACTTAAATTCTACTTTTCTGTCTTGAATTGTTTTGATCATTTCATTCAACTGTTTTTACAGACTTTATTAGAGGATTTATTTATATCTTTGAGAACCTTGACCATATTTTTACTTACTGTTTTGAAAGTCTTATCTTGTGATTATATTATATTTTTCAGAGCCTACTGCAGTAGGACTTCTGGTGGAAGCATGTTGTCTCGGCTGTTCGTGTTTATTTTCTCATGCCTGTGTCTAGGCACCTGTAATTCTGATGTTTGAAGTGTTTCTTGATAGTGATATCTGGTCCTGTTGGATGTGTGGTGCGTTCTTTGGTTGCTGTTGTCCTTGAATCTTAGCCAAGTGTGGTGGTTGTGGGGTCCCTGGTAGAGAGTCCTACATGTCGGTATAAAGGAGTGGAAATGGCTAGGAGCAAAGGCTGGGAGGGGCTGTGGAAAAGAACTAGGGATATTGGGTTGGCAGCAAGAGAGTCCCCAGGAGTGGGATGTAGTGAGAGGTGGGGTTCCTACAAGCAGGTTGCAGAAGGTCAAAAAGTAAGTCTGAAGGTGCAGAGATAAAAGGGCTAGGGGTACCTACATCTACAGGTGCATCTATAGGTGGAATTCCCAGTGAATTGAGTTGGGTTTGAGGAGGATCTCTTGCAAGCAGTCCAAGACTTAAGGGTATGCCTGGAGAGAGTATAAAGGAGGACAGGGATGAGACTAGTCTACCTGAGTTCCAGCTCTGTGTGGCTACTAGGGATCCTTGGTAGAAATGTTTCTGGGGGATTGGTGAGTGACATAAACAGATGGAGATGGCTGAAATGGAAGGCCGAAAGGGTAGGTGGTAAAGAGCCAAACTGAGTGCACCATAGGCAATCCCCGTCGAATGTAACCTCCTGGAAGCAAGCTGCTATATCACTGAGAGTGAAAAGGAGAGATTATAGTGGAGGACAGGAAGGATAGTGTAAATCACCTGAGTCACAACCAGGTGTGGCCCCTGGGTCGGGGGTGGGGGTTCCAGGTAGAAAGTATTCCTGGGGATGGGTGAGTGACAGAAAGGAATGGAGATAGGATAGAAAGGGAAGGTTCATTGTGTAGTTGTTATTGATCAAAAATTACTTACTTTGGGAGAAAGCAGTTTTGCCTGACAGAATGCTGAAATGAAAGTTTTCAAAATTATAATCTTCATTACCTGGATCCTTTAGAGCAGTGGTCTCAACCTGTCGGTTGCAGCCTTTTTGCGGGTCAAATGACCCTTTCAGAGGGGTTGCCGAAGACCGTTGGAAAATACAGATATTTACTTATAACTCATGACAGTAGCAACATTACAGTTAGGAAGTAGCAGCAAAAATAGTTTTATTGTGGTGGGATCACCATAACTGTCTTATAGGGTTACAACACTAGGAAGGTTGAGAACCACTGCTTCAGAGACAGTTACAGAAACTTTTAGCTGATGGAGATGGATACTCGTTAAAAAATGTTCAAATGTGATATTAGATAAATATGGGAAGGGGAATACTAAATAAAACTATGGGTTTTAAAAGTATAGGAGGAGACTTAAAGATGAAAAAAACAAGACTCACTTTCCTGTGGTTTATGCTGCTATAAAACCTGTATTGCTAATGCGTCTAGTATCTGCTAAATCTGTGTTTACTTGAGTAGCTTCCCTTCTTTGTGTACCAGGATCCTCTGCTAGCCATACTTATCTTGTCACCTGTGGGTTGGGTCAATTGTTTCACCCTCCAGGAGACTTCCCAGATCATATTCACTGGGGCTTGCTAATACTCTATATGAAGGATTCTCCTAAACGGGTTGGAATATTGGGGAAGCAACCACAGCACTTAAGATCTGTCGTTATAGGCAGAGGATCTGATTCTACACTTTCCAATTTCCTAAGTATTAATCAACCCAATGAAGGGGTGTACTTAAGAGATCCTGGGCTTTGCAGCAGTGAAGGGTAAATAAATAGGTGACTCTAGAGGTTGATCCACCTGCTGGTCCTCAAGGTGGGTCAGAGCCAGAGGCATAGGACCCAGTCTCCTGCGTGGTTCTCAGTGGATAAGTTTGGTTGGTTGGATCCCCGCCTTCAAGGGAAGAGTTAGGCACTTAACTGTCTGAGCCCAGTCTTCTATTCCTGTACTTTTTAGCTTGTGGAATTCTATCCTTCCCTTTGCACAGTTGATTTCCTAGGGCTGGCTCTCACTGTTGTAGCATGGTATATTTAGGCTCCCTGACTCCTGGATGTTCCCTGTCCTCAGTGCTGCTTATCTCCATCGCTGGCTCCATTT